TCTTCATATTGCGCTGTTGCTCATCCATTACGGCCTTTATGAATCAAACAGACGACATAGTATACTGCATAATATACGAGCCGTCAGGAAATAAACGGTTTTTCAAGCATCTCCCTGGAATGTGTTTCCGACCGGAAACTTAGTTGTTCATTTCACGGCGGAAGGAAGACTGCAAAAGCGGCAGTGAAATACGTTTTCCATTAAACTAAAACGTCGCAAAGCATATACAATTTTGCGGGTGTAGGTTGTGGAATAACTACTTTTCGTAATATAATGATCATTTTAATATAAAATAACACTTCACCATTATCATAAGGTCGTTAGTTCTAATACTGGTTGAACACGTACCTCCACTCTTTCCTGATATCCTGAGCTAATCTTCGCATTTCCCTAAAACTAGAACAACCCACATCCTTAACTATTTGCGAACAGTAATCTAATCTAGCTCTACCTCTACCCCTCCTAACTCCCGTTTCTGNAACTAGAACATCCCACATCCTTAACTATTTGCGAACAGTAATCTAACCTAGGTCTACCTTTACCCCTCCTAACTTCCGTTTCTGCCTCTAATATGTCTCTGACTAGACCTTCTCGCCTATTTCTTATTGACTTCCATAGAGTCCTCTGTTCTCCTATTCTTTCTAATACCTCTTCATTTCTAACCTTCTCTATCCACGGTATCCTCATCATTCTTTTCGCTCCCGTACAGCGCCGTGCTCCAAACATACACCTTTAACAGCCCTTTTCGAATTTCTACTAAATTAATCGTTCGTGAGCATAGAAGTGGCTTCTTTTTATTGAAGGCGACTCGACCCTGCGCTATTCTCTGCTTTATATCCCTATTACTCCTTTCGTCCTGACTTATCTGACTTCCTAGGTACCTAAAATCGGTCACTTCTTCCAATTTTTCGTCTCCTTTCGCTCTTTCCCTACTTTTTCTTCCTTTGCATACCAGTATTTTTGTTTTACTTTTATTTTCATACAGTACTGTTTTGTCAATACTGCTTCCATTTTATTTAAAGCTATCTCTAACTCCTCCTTGCTAGATGCTAATACTGCTACATCATCTACAAATCTAAGCATACTAATATTTTGCCTCTGTATATCTACCCCTACAGTTGTACTGTGTTTAATAATGTTAATCGCGTCTTCGATGTATAGATTAAAAAATAGCGGTGACAGTGTGCATCCCTGTCTGACTCCCTTCCTAATATTTACTTCTCTACGTTGCAACCCCATCTCTATAACTACCTGTTGCTCTTTATACAAACTAAGTATCAATCTTCTATCTTTGTAACTCATCCTTACATTTTTAAGTATATTTAACATCCTGTCCCATTTAACATTGTCAAAAGCTTTTTCTAAATCTACAAATCCTATGTACGCCTTCTTTCTTTTTTCTATCGTTTTCTCTATTGTTACTCACTTTACCATATAATATAAAAGAAACGGTAAGCAAAACACTTCGAGATATTTATTAATTACGTGACGCTAAAAGTAGAATCGCATTCAAGTCCATTCTTTAATTTTTTAAGGAATCAGAAGCTACACTTACTGAATTTTTTCATATTGTACGAAAGGGCCTAATTACACGTACGATAGTCTATTAGTTATATGGATTCCCATACCTTGTACATGCCGACAGACAGAAGAAGATACAATCTAGTAAGTACAAGCTCTCAATAACCTGATAATCCCTTAAGCGCAGGCTCTCAATCACCTAATAACCCTTCATACCTAAACTCCAGAATGGCCTAGAAGTTTAGAACATCTTAGTATTCAAGGGGACACCGGTTCCATTCCCACAATTCCTAATAGGAGACTGAAAAGAGCCTTAGTAGCAAATAGCGGAATTGAAAAAGAAGTTATTTTTTTATCTGTACTATATGTAATTAAACCAAAAGTAATGACAATAACACTTTGAAAATACACCCGAGAGTTCTAGGTTTTTAAATAAAACAAATTGTCTTTAAAAATGCAGTAGCAGAGTCTAAACATTCAAGATAACCGCCCAATGAGGGATAAGTCAAATAGCAACTTCGAGTGGGAGACAATGCTTTTCAAATTTGTTGTTCCAACAAAACAGTAATCCAAATTTCGAGCCATACGTCTCGCTTTGTTCGAGAATAGTTTCACAAAAACCACGTCAGTGTTATATGGAACTGCCGGCAAATAACCGGACCTCAACCGTCAACCCTATCCAGAACTTTGGACACAGGATTAGGACGACAAGATTTCCAAGCGAACAATCATCGATTGATAAAATTAAACTTGGTTTGAACGAAACAAAATTAATTTCGTCAATGGCGCATCACTATCAAAACGTTATAGTCAACAATGGATATCCTATTACCTATTAAGTTAATACATTTATAATACTGCTATTTGTATAATCCACCCCTCCAATCATATTTCTTTCTTTACTGATAGTCAAGTCGAATGGTGTTACGTTTTCCTTTTTTTCTCTAGTGGAATAACCGGCACACCTGTACTCGGCGTCACCATCCGGTACCTGGCCGGATCCCAAAAAGTGTCGAATTCGCCGCGTACCGGATCCAAACCGCGTATCAGTCTATCCCTAGCGGAAAGGTCTAGATCCGATTGTAACAATAACACCGCTCGAAAGTTTTCCACAATGATGTTTCACCTTTTATTTTCTGAATTAATAATAAATATTTTTCAATTACTGAAACGTATACCACCCTTTCTTATAAAAAATTGTACGTAACACAGCAGATTTAAACACTACCCTTTTAATTATGCCTAATAATTCCAAGCAGTCTACTTCTAATCATACCTACAAAACATCCAGTTAAAAAGTCAGATGCAAAAGACGTAGGAAAAACTAAATTTAGTTTTAGTCAGTAATACACCTAATAAAAATACTAATATATCCTAATTTAATAAATGAACTGATTGCATTCACTAATAAAATACCGCATAGTAAATAAACCTAGTGTCGTTTAAATAAAATATCTATTACATAAAACTTACAAAAATGTATCAAAGAGCACGCTGCACTCACTTCATTTCCTTGAAGCTCAGTATAACATGAAGTCGATGTTTATTATTCTGTTATCTGATGGGAAGATTTAATGTTTACATCATTTTTTTATCAAAATTCGATTTTGAAAAATTAATTTTACACTAATTATGCATACTAGCGACATCTACCACATAAACTGCGAACCGGGGTTATTACATCAGGATGGATAACTATAAAAAGTCAAGATGCTATTTAAAATGTTTAGATGTCTCTAATAGCATAATTAATTAATTTCTAATTTGCAAATAAAACATAAAGAGAAAATTTATCGGTAATTTTTAAAAATAGAGAAGCAGTTTGTGTTACTTATATTCCATTTCAACAGAATCTATTTCAAATCCATGCACATAAAAATATTTTAATTTAAAATGCAATTTCTGTGGATAATACTTGTATCTACAAAAATATAATGAAACTAAAAAGGATAACAAAGCGTATTGTCTGCCAATTTTTGTTTTAATATCTTAATTGAAATTAGTCACGTGCTAATTTATGATTTATAAAATACCTAATTGTATAAATTTATCGATCATAACCTCGAAACTTTATTCATTTCGATAACACCATTTATTTATTTGATTAGAAAATTCCAAAAATAAATAAACCTTCCAAAAATGTATTAACAATATTAAAGGCAGGCTACATTAAACAAAAAGCTTTAGAGGGTGCATACAGATACAGCTCACAGCAACACGGAAAACAACTTCTGTACCTGTTTCGTAAGAGGAAGAAGAGCTTGTTCTATGCTGCGAATTTTAATTTCTAAATTGTCAAAACTTAAGTTATCTAAACCAGCCATTTTCTACACTACATTCTGCTTCTGTTATGTTTACATGTATTATAAAAACATCAATTTAAATTTATACTGTCCTGTCATCCCACCACCAACATAGATAAATAACCCCTACTGACATCTATTATAAAAAATATCAAAGGTAATTCAATTAAACGCCCTTATATTAAGCCTACATTTAAAAATGCCATTGGTATGTTCAAAAGTTTATATTTTTAATAAATAATAAAATGTACAATAAGTATATACACCACTCCCATTTATACATTAACTATCAAAGCTATACATTAACTACCAAAGCTAGTGAACATTCTTCACACTCCAAGACAATCTTTTTATCGTTTGTATTTAAAATCTCTTTATGTACTGTATATGTACTTCCACATCGGCACTGATAACAAAATATACCATCATCATTAAATTGTTGATCGTTAAGGAAAAGTTCTTCGAAAATAAATAAATCTGTACCATTGTCTTTATTAAAAATTATAGCATCATACTTCTTTCGTTTTTCACTATCACTTAATGTTTCCCAAGCTTCATATACTTTTAAAAACGTTTCTTTTGAATCACGCTTTTTATCAGGATGATGAACTTTTATTAGTTTGTGATAATTTGCTTTAATTTCTTCATAGCTTGCATGTCTGTCGCACTTCAAAACGTCGTAATACGTATCGTTACTACTTTCCATTCTTAATCACATCAATAAAATAATATCTTTCCAATTTTATAATCAAATTTCGTTATTTTGTACATTTGTTTTGCAATATTTTTGAACGATTAATAATTGTAACCTAGCCTAACTTTCTGACATGTGCATGAACCATTGAACTAGACTACAGATACAGAACGTCACATTACCATAGATACTTTATTTACCTTTCGTTCGTTCATGTCTTCCATCATTCACAAACCAGTCACATACACTCAATATAAAAAACTCTCCGAAGTTAATGAGCATAACCAAACACATTATCAGAAAATATTTTACATATGGAAAACATACAGTCTATAATGCAAGTTAAAAACAATTACCAAAATTTACCTAATTCATTACTGTTAAGCGATAACTATCTTCACATTAATTTCACTATGTTGAACTTTGCCAAACTTCACGTACACTTTCTTTCATTCATGAATATCCATAGATATATATAAATAAATATCAGTGCATGTAACCCATAACCTAAGGACGTGACAACATAATAATTATTGATAATTATTCAAATAATTCCGTACTGACGACGAATGTAAATATGTACATAAATATTGATATGAAAATTTAAATTTGAAATTTTGCAAGATAATCTGAATGTCGTAATCCTGATCCTAATCTATGTTATAGAGGAAATCCATTTCACGCGTAGTTATTAGCTTTACAAAAATGTTAGCTTTATCAGTTTATGTTGCTATTGTTATAATACTAGCAGGTATTAGAAAGTTTCAGGAGAGCAAGTGGTTAAAGTGTTTAAACAATATTAAATTAAGCAACAAAATAGTCATCGTGACCGGAGCAAATTCTGGAATTGGTTATGAAATTACTAAAGAATTAGCCAAAAGAGAGGCAGAAGTAGTTTTAGCATGTCGAAATGTACAGGCTGCTCAAGAAGCTATTTATAAAATAAAACAGATTTATCCTAAAGCAAATCTTGTAAGCACTTCGTGTGATTAATATGAAAACTTTGTTTTAGTTAGCTATTTCTAACAATTTATTGTATTCTTCAGGTTCCTCTGGAATTAGACCTGAGTTCTCTCAAATCAATTAAATCTTTTATTGAAGAAGTAAGTAGGAGGTACATGCACATTGATATTTTAATTAACAATGCAGGAGTTTCATATCCTCCATCATGTAATAAAAAAACAAAAAATGGCTTTGAAATACATATGGGTGTAAATCATTTAGGTCATTTCTATTTAACTACAAGGCTTTTACATAAACTGGAAGAAGTTGAACAAAGTCGTATAGTGGTGATTACTTCAAAACTTCATGAGAAAGGAGTGATTGATGTAGAAGACCTAAACAATGAGAAAAAGCAATCTTCAACTTTATATGCAAATTCAAAGTTGGCAAATGCATACTTTAGTAGGGAGCTTTCCAAAAGAACCAAAGTGAACACATATGCTTGCTGTCCAGGATGGGTATATACAAATCTGTTTAGACACCATTCTATTCCCTGGTACAAATATATTTTCATTCTACCAATTGCTTGGTTATTTTTGAGAAGCCCAGAGCAGGTAATAAGAAGTGTAAAAAAGAGTTAAATCAAAATTAGAGGAATTAAATAATGTTTTAGGGTGCTCAAACTCCAATATATTGTGCAACAGAGCCCAATTTATTATCAGAAAGTGGTTACATGTATAGAGACTGTCAAAAATACAAATCTAGAGTAAATTTTGATGATGAAGTTTCCCGAAAATTGTGGGAGAAAAGTGAAGAGATGATAGAAGATAAAATTAAAGAATTAAATGACTAGTTATATATCATTTGTCTATATCTTTATATTTCCAAATTGAATAAACAGCATTCGTTACATTTATTTTTTTTGCATCAATTCTTTAAGTAGAGCAATAATAATTAAAACAAACAATAAAGTAAATTTAGAGTTCCCATATTTTAAAAAGGAAAATACAAAAATAAATTTCTTAGTAACATGAAAATAGATCGCATTCTAAAATGTTTAGACTCTGCTTAAAATACGTTAAATTCGATTTGTTTTGTCAACTGTTTGAATATGTTTTTAAACATAATGCTTTGAATGCTTTGTTCGTTGTTTTATAAAACGCCCAGTCGTTATAGTAAATAACTAGCCAGACGTACAAAAATCATAATGTTGACAAACATTTCATAATCTAACCCCTTCTAATAAAATGATTAATTTGTAATAAACAGCTACGACAATAACACATTTAGTTTACTTATTTTAAATAAACTTGAATATCTTTTTAGATGCTATGAATCTTTGCACATCTGTAAAATGAACATACCTTGCAAAATAATAATCTGTGATAAGCCCATAGATCACAGTGAATCATAGTAACATAACCTCTATTTTGGATTTTAAATTATTAACTGTTTAAACTTTTAAAGTATTTTTTTATCATTTGTATGTGAATACTACATAATAGTCACAGCTATTTTAGACGAAGTCTAAGTGATTACGCCAAATGAATTTACTTATCTTAATTTTCTTGTCCAATTTTATTTTTATAAAGTCTGAACCAATCGTTATCAATACATGGAAATTTACTGAAGCAACAAGAGAAGGTAAAATCAAATTTTATTTTACTAATGTAATTATCGGAAACATTTCAAGGTAGCTTGGAAAACATTACAAGAAACACATAATAGTATTGATGCTTTAGTAGCAGGATGTAGCAAATGTGAACAGCTACAATGTGATCATACTGTGGGCTTTGGAGGAAGCCCAGATGAAAATGGTGAGACTACTTTAGATGCCTTAATTTTCGACGGGTAAGGATATATATTTTCACTGTATTAAGCAAGCTACCAAAACAACAATTACTTTAAAACTTGTCTACCTAAACATTCCCTTTTAATTGATTAGATTAACAATGAATGTAGGAGCTGTTGCAAATTTAAGAAGAATAAAAAATGCAATAGCAGTAGCAGAACATGTACTAAAATACACAGGGCACTCAATTTTAGCTGGGGAACTAGCCACCCAGTTTGCAGTTCAAATGGGATTTAAAGAAGAAACACTGACTACAAGTTATTCAAAGCAACTTCACACTTCATGGGCCAAAAGTAATTGTCAACCGAACTTCTGGAAGGTAAAAAAGACACATCTATTACAATTAGAGTATTAAAAATGATCTAATATCGTTATTATTTTTATATTCAGAATGTCGATCCTGACCCTAAAACGTCGTGTGGACCGTACACTCCAGCAAATGAAAACAGCATTTGTTATAACCCATCATTATTTGATTCTGAAAATCATGATACTATAGGAATGGTTGTAATTGATAAAAACAACCACATAGTAGCAGGTACATCAACAAATGGAGCTAATCATAAAATTCCAGGGTTAGTATTTCCTAGAAGCGATTTTTTGTTCATTAAAAACCGATTTAATTTGTTTTAGACGAGTAGGGGATTCACCCATACCAGGCGCAGGCGCTTATGCTGAAAATAATGTAGGAGGAGCCAGTGGAACCGGTGATGGAGATGTTATGATGAGATTTTTACCAAGGTGATATATATATATAGTGTATCTCTTAAATTTGTAAAAGAAAAGAAACATTTTAACAGCTTTCTAACTGTCGAAGAAATGAGAAGAGGTAGTACTCCTACTGAAGCAGCACTGACAGCTATAAAACGAGTAGCTGCACATTATCCTAACTTTTTTGGGGCAGTTATCGCAGTGAATGTAAATGGAGAGTATGGGGCTGCTTGCAATGGTATGGACGAATTCCATTTTTCAGTGTTCAAAACAAACCAATCGGATGTTAAAGTTCAATCAGTCCTTTGCAACAAGTAGGTATAGTTAACTATTATACGTTTATTAAAACGAAAATAAATATATATATATGATTGATTAAATTAATTCTTTGTTACTTATTTTTAAAAAACATAAATCTGCAGCAAAGTAAAAAAAAAATTAAACCAAAAGACTAATTGAACCACCAATATTGTTATGCAAAATAAATTGTATTATGCATTATATTTGTGATGGACGATAAAAAATTGAGTTGTATGATATGAAACCAACAAAAATTTTTCAAACAAACACATTTCACTTGATACGACTCACGACCGTATTCTCGTCTTCAAAAACTCTAAACTATTTCGCGCAAAAATATCACGAAATGCATTATTAGCTTATTTCTTAATTGATAGCTCTATTTTTTGTATTACTTGCATTACTTTTGTAATTTGCTTTACCATTATCATTTTAGCAAGACTGGTTCTGATTCTCTTAGCGCCAGACTAACTAAACATTAAAATTTTAATTTAACTACAATAAAACTACAATTTAAATTATGTTAATCTCTTATTTTTGAAATTATCGATCATACGCATTCATTGTATCTCCCATACAAAGCATTCTTTTGAAATATATACAAACAGTACACTGATATTATGAATAGTCTCAGGGTTATTTTCATTATATTTTACATTAAATAGACCAATCGTGCAACAGACTTCAATTAAAGACTACATGAAGGACAACTTCCACTTGTTACCTTTGTATCATTTACTAAATATTCTGTCAGAAATTTTCAATGCACAAGATGTTAACTTAATAATGAAAACCTTACGTCGAATATCAATATCATAATTAAAAAAAAAAAAAAACTCCATTCATCTTTTGGCTCCTACACTTCAATTTTAGAATCGCAAACTGTTTAATTTGTATTAGAAATTAAAATCATTACAAAAGTGTTATATCTTAATTTAGTAAATGATACGTATAACAACATTTCTAACATTACATTTAAATTACATTATTCCTGTAATAAACATTGGGATATTAAAATTTATTCTGATTGAAAAAGCTTTTAAATGTTACATAGTTTACTTAAACAATTTAACAAAATGATTAACAGTAATAAATCTGCAAGTAGCTGAGTAGTCAACATATTGTTCAATGTAGGTGCCTCAGAAAAAAGAGAGAGCAACTATCAAAAGACAGTTAAAAAAAATATCGGCAGTTTTTACAAGAAATACGACAAAAAAATATTCANATAATCGAAAAGAAAAGATTAATAACTATTCAAATAATATGCATAAACCAGCCTTTGCAGCAGTAATCTATGAGACTCGAAATAAAAACGAAACTCAATTTAACAAAATGATTAACAGTAATAAATCTGCAAGTAGCTGAGTAGTCAACATATTGTTCAATGTAGGTGCCTCAGAAAAAAGAGAGAGCAACTATCAAAAGACAGTTAAAAAAAATATCGGCAGTTTTTACAAGAAATACGACAAAAAAATATTCACAAGCTTAAATGGTTTAATATTGTCATGTGAATATTATAAAGTAAGTGTAAAATGGACTTGCGAACCCAAATGATTATTCAAAGCTTGCAGTAGTCAAATGAATTGTTTCCAATATTTTGCCAACAACTAAGCTAATGAGGCTGAGTAGTCAAAGTTGTTAAAGAAACGTTAGGAAAAAAATTCATTCAACCACAGCAAAAGCTAAGTCTTAAAAATAACCATAACAACTTTATTTATGAAAAGTGGCAACGCCCAAAAATTTTATTTTCTTTTGTACATTCTTTAATGTAATGAAATACGTTAAGGGCAAGTCATGAAGCTAAAATATATGTATATGATTTAATAACAAATACCATTAATTATTATTATTATTAGAAAATGCACAAGCTGTTAAAAGTGTTGCACAAATTCTAACTTTTAAATTTTAAAACAGACATAAAATTTTAATATTTAATAACTAATAGATGAAAATTTAACAAAGGAACAGTCTTGATTCGTTTTACATTTGTAACTATATGAAAGATAAGTAAGCGTAGTTGACATGATATCCTTTAAAAGTGTTCACAACCGTTTCTTGATTGAGCACTGTTTTTTTTTTATTAACAACACTTTATTAGTTATATGTACGTATGGGTTTTACGAAAAGGCCAATCAAATTAGATTATTTATAATCAAGCCGATAAAATTTCCAAATGAATAGAAATATATGAAAGACTAGGGTCTATAAGACTATGAAAATGACCCCCATCATAACTGTGAGTTTTTGTTGAATCTTATTCTAGTAACTCATAACAACAACTCTTAATAATTATTTGGTGGTCAAACTTGAAAATGTATGCTATTTTTTTTTAATATTTTCCCACTATTATCAAATGATCTTACTTATATGAGAATCAATAATCTAAAAGAAAAAAATTGGTACCTTAGTATGAAATATATCAATAATATTGGAAAAATACAAAACAATTAGCAAAATGCCAAAAAAGAACAAGTTCCACCACCAAAATAACTGTTTGAACTATTAGAATGATCCTAAATGTTATGAATTATTAGAATAAATATATATAAGCCATTTATTTCATGTCAAGAATGTTTTTAAGTAATTTTAATCATTTAGATTAAAATTTTTCTAAAATGATTGGCCTAGACAGACAGATATGAAGAAAATGAAGATACACCAAAATAAATAGTTATACGACATACAATTATTAGACTTTTTTACATTATACAAAACGGTGGTGTTTTCATTTAGACCTTGGCAAAATGCAGCCTGTCTTTAATTCATTTCTTAACTTATTTTTTTAAGAAAATAAGAAATTGAAAAATAAGTTTCTGTCGCATACTTAAATTACCGAACGAAAATATGCATTCTATTGTTATTTTTGGATCAGCTGGCCCCTACTTTTCTTTAATTTTGAAAATCGTATAAATTATGGTACATACCTTTTGGAAGCCCAAGTTTTCATTTAAAATAAATCGTATTATTAAAAAGCAACTTTAAAGAAGAATAAAATCTTTTCGAATATAAACATGTTTTAATAATGTTTATAATTTATTATTACAGGTGTAATATTGATTAAAAACATCTACTTATTTACACAATATATGTATATGCATACATAGGTACATATTTAACGAAAGTATTAATTGAAAATTATGCGTTTTGCCACGGGACACTCTTGATAAGAACCCTTTGGTGAACATATCTTTGGCGTAATATAATTTGTATTTGCAATAAAAAATTTGTACTTTAATAAGAACAAAAATTAAAAAATAAAAACGAATAATCTTCATATTTAAATAGTCAATCGATTTTTAAAAGCAATACGATAATAATAATGTATATATTAGAAATTAATAAAATATTTCAAAAAGTATGCACCAGAAGTAAATAAATCTGCTCTTATTTTCCTAATTTGAACATTCATTTAAAAAAAATGAATAATTTTAAGTGAATATAATATTCGAATATTTGCAGCTTTCTTAATAATTTTGATCAATTTATCCAGCAAATAGCAAAGAAACGCTTTCGTTCTCTAATTGTTACTTTAAAACCCATAATTCACCCTACGTATTATATATTACGAAAAGTAAATGAACACTTACAAAATTTTAAGCACAAAAATATCTTGGAGTAAAATAAATACTGTTATTACAAGAGAGCCCTGTAGTTTTCGATAGAAACAAAATAAATAAGTTTATATATTAGCCTCCATATTAAGGGCAAAAATGTTTTCAACAACCGAGATAGATCATTTAATTTGACTTCATACAAAGGCTGGTTACTTATTTGAATAATTAATAAGGTTTAGAATTAAAATATTATGCATTTTGGATTATTTTTCAACGAATTATTTTCATTCAAACAAAAAAAAATCAAATACCTTAGTTTTTCTCAGTAAAATGGTTTTCAATCATGTACAAAATTTCAAAAAGTTTTTCAAATACATTTCCATGATAAAAGGTCGCTCAAGCATATTTTGAGAGATTCAGATCAGACCATTCTTGAGACCTTTAAAAAAGTGAGAAGACTGCAGTTTAATTGAATTCGAAACAGAATAAGCAGTAATTAATTTTTGAGTGAAATTAAAACAGTGTGTATTGTATGAAACCAAAGTACTAAATAATCGAAAAGAAAAGATTAATAACTATTCAAATAATATGCATAAACCAGCCTTTGCAGCAGTAATCTATGAGACTCGAAATAAAAACGAAACTAATATAGTTATAGAATCATTTAAATAATAAAAAAAGTATAAAATGTACAGTAACGATAATAATAATAAAAAAAATAATTAATATCGTAAAAAATGTAGTTTTAATCACATACTGTGGCGACCGCCGCACAATCCACACCTAACACCACACCAGTGACACAGTTTTAGCGGTGGATAGAACCACAGGCAAGGTACGAATAGCGATAAAAAAGTCAAACACAACCACCGTTTACCACAATTGTCGTCATAGGTACATTCGCAGGGCCTCTGCACGTACTCGGCCTCAGCGTCCGTAGCACAATGATAGCACACGCACTGAGCACAACCTATACATGTAATTGTGTGTATCGTTGATTTGATACAGTCAGGACCATACTCGCACGAACCTTTCGGATTATCGTCCTCATTAAACAGCTCATGACAATGTCTACATCGCACCTGAGCTTTGTACGATTTTGTAAATTTTGATTTTAACGGCAAAGGTGGTTGAGGTACAGCAATAAGCTCGAGGTTCGTTTTCTTTGGGCTCGATGAATCGTGTTTTACTAAAGGTGGCTTAGAATCTTCCACCACTGGATAAGTGTATTCGTGAACTGCAGTTAACTGTACGTATGAGTAGTTTTCTCCTACAAAACAAAACTTTATGTTACTTTCCATATTCCACTCAAAAATACAAAGCACAAACTCACTCACTAGCAACCGTCACAGTAAAAACAAGCAAGCAAACACTTTTACTAAGATTATGCATGGACTAAATGCGTGCAATATACAGAGCGCTTTTAGGTATGGTGCCCAAACACAACTCTTTATACCTACAGTACCTTTAGAAGGTAATTTTGAAATTAGAAAATGAACTACGTAGGCCTAATTAATAGATTCCATCACTTCAAATAAAGGTTTATTCTCTGCCCACCTGCAGTCGCTGTAATTTTTTTCTTATAATTATTTTTTTTGTGTACATCGGCAGATAAAATATGAAAAAATGCTCCATATAAAGTAGACAGCTTAAGAACCAAGAAGATAATCGCATTTATTATAGAGAAAAGCATAAAGTGCACAGCAACACAATATGCAAGCATTGCAAGCTGATGAAATTAATTAAGCCAATCAAACGGAAAAAGTTGCAATTAGAAGTTCTCCCAAACTTTTTAATAGAACAAGACAAGCACATGCTATAAAAAGCCGTTTTATAAACCTACATAAAGTTGCTCAGGACAAAGCAGTCAAAAGTGCATTTGAAAAATTACCTTTGTCACCTTTCATTGGATCATAAGTTGGCGGTCGAGATTCAAGAGGTTTATCCCTCCCTATGTAATGAATTCGGTGCAAATTGTCCGACCCTTTTGTACTAGAATCGCTGGAACTACGGGAATCTTTTGGTTCTTGAGGTAAATTTAAAGTCTACAGACAAAACAAATGACCAGCTGTAGAACTTTATCTTAATTTTTATATCGTACTTTATAAACCGTAGTAGGATAACTTCAATTCAAACACTTTTAACGAATGATCAAATCATAGTCTTCAAGAATTTTATATTTGAAAAAATATTACTGACATTTTCTTTCATAAAGTAATAATTCTCCATAAAAAAAATAATATATTATCAATTCTACTTAACTACTACTAACAGCTATTTACTTTTTCATGTGAAAAAAAAATGTATAGTATTATTATAAAATGTGTTATACTACTATACTACAGATAATGAGATTAAATTTTTATCAAGACGATTTTATTCATCCTATCAGAATTGACAAAAAATGTGCTGTCCCCCTGCAAATCCAGACATAACAAAAAGCGTTCATCCCCAATAGAAGCATCATAGGAAAAGTCTACTTAGAAATTTTAAAGACTAACCCTACCCTACAACGAATATGGGATATTTAATGAACCGTTTCGAATACAGAAAATAATAAATGTACAGAAAGAGAGTCAATATGTGTCAATCATTCAAGAAAAAAAAATAGGAAATAGAAAATAAAAAGTCTACGTAACAAACCAAATCATAGGTGAATACAAACTATTGTAACTAAATTGCCAAAAAATAGTAAATTAGTTTTGGGGTATATATAATCATAAAGTTGCATTATAAAATGATTAACTACAACTACTTTTATCGGTACATCAGATCATCGTTTGAATTAGTTTCTAATCCAAATTATATATGCACTACATTGAAATTCTAACTACATTCTACAGCACACATTTTTTTAAATAACTTTTTCTTCTGGGTTTGGATAAAATATTTTTGATTAGAGCAAACCAGAAATAAATGACGGTATCAACAACTTATCATTTTGATTTTTTCCTTCGTTATTGTTGTCCCATGTATACTTTACGGGTACAGATCACTCGTTATGACCCTTGTGAAAAAATTAGAGACATTTTTTTATATATCGTTTACCTTTATTAAAATGCATTTTATTTTAATAAACTACGCTAACAACTACCTATTTATTCAATTAAAAGTAATAAATACGTATTTATTACCAGCTGATTTCCGCGACTTCGCCCATCGATACAAAACGACACAGTATCAGGCTTCAGCGCAAATGATCGCGAATGTCGCTTACTTTACGATGAGGCAGAAGCAGAAACTTCCTTCCTAACCCGCGCATGCGTACCGCGTCGCTTGCCCTCTTTCAATGGCAAGAGAACACGCATAATTACGGTCATTACAGTCGTCCTTATTGTTTACGTGTATGAGAATGCTAATAAGTTGACATTGAAAAGGAACATAGTGGTAATTTTTATTGGAGATAAAGACTAAGCGTCGAATCTAGCTATCGTTTTATTTATATAGATACTTAAATAATCGCTTCAATTTCTATAATAGGTGTTGACTCTTACATTAGTATAAACAAAGTTTAATAACTCTGTTTCAAGTCCAATTAACAATTATCTATGTTTTGTCATAGTACAAAAAAATAAATATGCATATATGACCAACTTATGAAGCGTTCGAAAATAACTTTAAAAATCACTCACCATAAAGACATCGTCGTCTCCCACATCTTTTTCGTATTTATTATTTACATTAGTAAGCGGATACGTATCGGCCAAACCTAAAATAAAATAAAAAACACACAAAATTAAATTCAATTCTTTCCAGTATGGGAAAGCTATTTAACATTAGTGTAATATAATAAATACCGAAAAATATACCATGCGTTTTTATTTCATTCACAAAGTGTTATAAAAAGAAAAAGAAAATGAAAATGCTGATTTGCTTACCATGGAGAAAGTCCGTAGGATGAAAGCAATGAAAAAATAAAAATAAAGCAGATAAGTTATACGATTATCGACCCCACTTACTAAAAGTAGGGTATCAGCTTATAGTCCAATTTACAAAAATTATAAACTTATTATAACTACTTATTTTCAAGCGACATAATTACAGTTAACACCATTCAAATGGTAGGTTCAAGGAAAATTTGTTGAAATATCATCACTTTGTGAAGCTAAATTTATTATTAATTTTACGAAAAAAATTTATTCATCCTTCTCCAAAATATACAGATACACAAGAAAGGGGATGAGAATACTGTTTTGGTTCAAGGGTTAAAATACAGATAAAATCAAACACTAAAAATTAAAAATAAATTACATATTTTAATGTTAACATCGTTAACATATTTTCCAAGTTAATCAAACAGGTGGACGAAAAAGAGAAGACCAAATAAAATTAATTTTTAATATTGACTTTTTTTTCGTTTGACTTTGCCACCAATACATTTCGTGACTGTATTCATACAGAAAAGAGTCTTCAATTTTTTTAACTACTTACACCTGCCTGCTTAATTAACTGATCAGGAAAGGATTTGTTTCTGAATACGAATTACAGAAACTATAAAGAAAATACAATAACTACAAAAAAAAATCAGTCTAATGTAAATTTGACTTGCGAGATGGCCTGAAATTATTGCAGAAATGAATACAGGGGGATATCCCCGAGTGGTTTTTCGTTTACATGGACAGTTTTTCCGCCAGGGGGCGTAAAAGTTGACCAATATTCTTGAATAATAATAAATAGATAGATTAAGACAAGCATAATGAGAATATGAAGAAGTTGAAATAAATTTAAATTAAAATAAATATATAATAATCCAATACAGCATTCTCGAGTTAGTAAGAATCGAGTCTTATGGATATGTTTAAAACTGAAGAAAAAATTTGATCAACTTCGGCGCACCCTGGTGGAAAAAATAACCATGGCATCGAAACACTACTCAAGAACACCCTCTCTATTCATTTCTGCAGTAATTTCAGATGGCCCACCACAAAGGACAAAAATTACATAAAAGTGATTCTTTTTATTTTATCGAATGAACAATAAAATCGTGATATTTTGATACTTATAAATAACCAAAAATGATAAAAAAAAATAAAATAAATCAAAAAACCCAACTTACCGTCCAGCAGTTCTTCAACAGCGGTACGCACTCCTTTATCAAACGCTCGAGCATCAGCTGCCGTTTGAAATGTGAGTCCAAATTTCTTGTCCCCGGTTTTCCAATGATGAAACGTAGGCATAACTTTATTATATTCGAAATCCTTCTTTATTGTGCATGATAAAACAATCTAAATATTAAAAATAAAACACAATGTTAATGTAGCTTAACCATGTATATACGATAATTTTTTTGTTGTTAAACATACGCTTTGATCGCTTATCCGTTTTCCGTAAATGAGATAGTCGTGTTTGGGCTTTGCGACTTCTTGGCCGGGGGCAGCTGAGGGACAAGCCCTCGGTCTCTTTCTCACCGACACATTACTCAAGCCGCCTCCACCAAGCGGCACCCAACCTCCCGAACTGTCGTCGCGCGACATCACCTGTGCCCGCACACGAACCAAATATCCACTACAAAATAAAATTAAAATAAAAAATTTGCTTAACAAATTTGTGAAGACAACTTTATTATATAAAACAGTAGTTGCTAAATATTGGAATAAAAATACATTTTTTTATAAAAAATAC